TTAATATATTTTTTAAAATACAGATCCGAATCCGGACCTAAAAATTAAGATATCTGGATACGGTTTGCACGGATCCGAGATTTTACTATCCGGATTTGGATCCGGGCACCCCCGGATATCCTAATTTTGGAGCGGATCCGGAGCGGATCTCGGATCAAATCCGGTTCCCGGATAAAAGTCCCAGCCCTATAAATACCTATTGGGTATAAGAATGATTTATCCGATATACCCGTAACCGAATGGTTCCTATTTAAAAACAAACCGAATATCCGAATGCCCAGGCCTATGGGCGACAATTTAGATAGCTGCGGAAAACAATAGAGCTAAGCTTGGCTATGAGTAGGAAGCTAGCGACACACAACCAGAAGAACCTTGAGAGAAAATTGATGACATCAGAAGCTACTTAGGTGTGTTGGTTGAGGAATGTCAATATCAAGGGATATACTATAGATTTTACCCGTTTTTACCCATAGTATATGTGCTTTTTAGACTCTATTATATGGATTTGGAATATTTAGAGTTGCTCAAAAAAAAGGAATATTTTTAGATTGTTTTCGTGTTGAGAACTTGGTGATTTTGGAGTTTTTTGAGGTGCATAACTACATAGATGCATCAGAAATTTAGAAACGGATGGAAATCTTCCCATGGTGAGATTGAGCTCATATTTTGACATAAGATGGATATTTGAGTTCGCTTTCTAGTGCCACTGGTTTGAGAATCTAAAGTTATGCTTGTTTTACTGAAAAATGGTATGTTTGCCTCGCGAGAGGAAGCTGTCGAGAAGATGAAGGACAGTTGATCGACGACAGACCCTTGGTGTCAATTGACAGTGATGTCAGAAGATAGGCTCGACTTAATTCGCGATCAACTTAAACTCATAAGATCCACATATTTACCAGAATACCCCTTGCTGACTTTTAACCATATTTATATGTTTTCTAAGTCATTGTTGACGGCAACCCTTTGTTTACTTTATTTTATTCAGTCTTGGGTTAGGAGAAAAGGGAGGAACTTCTTTCACAGTACTCTTGGAACTTCTTTGGCTTTGGTTTTCGTGTTATTTATATTTGTTATATTCATCTATTCATTCTAAGATTTCTGTGATAATTATCCTGTCTAAATAGATCCACATGTAAGGTTTAGGGTATTTCTAAAGATGTGAATGTACTTCTGAATATGGAACTGCTATTAATGTTTGTGATCTAGCATAGCTAAATAGAACCCTGAGCTTAGGATTGTAGACAACTACAGTAGGTTTGCCCCCTGAATAGATTGTCTTGAGCTAGGATTGCCAGAAACATGTGATAGCTTATTTAGTAAGACTAGTTAACCAAATTGATTAGTTCGATAACGCTTGCATAAGTCCTTGTCGTTCGACACTCACTCAATAGCATCGATCGTCACTCAATACGTGTTAACATGCGTCAGCTTAAACATTGGACTTGGTTGGACTTTACATTAGAAATCGAGTTCTAGGATCAACCCTTAGTATCTATAGATTGTGTTTTGATAACCTGAATGAAACTTTAATTATATCACTCATCCTTTTATCAGACAACAACTCCTCTATAACTGCTTTTTATTATTTACTACTTATTAGTATTTTACCTAGCTTGATCTGAGACTCAAGTCTATCGTGTGAGATATCGAGTTTCAGTGGATATATACGATCCTAAGTACTGCAATCGATCTCTTATTTGATAGAGTTGCTCTTGGGGTAATTTGAACACATCATCAGGCCATACAGATGAAGGATCAACCACATGGACCTTATTTGGTTGTTTTATTTAGTTAAGTGTTTTAGAGCTTTTACCAGGTTTAAAGCAATTAGAATAAGGTTCGGTATAAACCGATTGGAACTAGAATTATTAATTGGCTCTCTTAAACCAATTAGGAATATGTTTTGGTTTTCCTATTTAGTGTGATTAGGATTTACTAGTAAGATTTATTTTGTCTTGTCTTATGTAAGTCAAATTCTAATAACATTTGTGATGACACTATCTTTTAGTAAAAACCAAGCTTTGGCTTACTCTTAAGTATTCTTTGAAGACCTTTACCTCTTGTTCAAGTGGTGAGCTTTATTTGATCTATAGGAAAAGAACCTCCCATTATGAGATATTCAAAGCTACAAATGAGGCTACTAAATCTACACAACTTTAGGGTATTCGAACCCTATTTTAAAGACCACACGTCCAAAAAGTGTTAAAACCTCAAGGAATTTTTCCATACCATCCTAGACACCCTTCAAGTGTTTTTATGGAAAAGAGAGCTTATCCAAAGCCGTAACAAGTGGTATCACATGCGTTTGAAGGTATCGTATACCCAGGAACTTGTATGTCTTCTTTTGAATGCAAAATAAATCTTGAAGAGAATAATGTCTAGGGTGTTGCAAGGAACAAAATAATTAATCCAGATTCTACCCCTCGGCAGATAGAAATGGTTTTGCCGATACATGATACTTATCAGATTCTCATAAAATCGGATCACAAACTGACTATGTTTTTACAGTTGGGGGAACTGCGATCTTTTGGCGTTCCCAGAGAAAAAATTTGGTCGGACTTCTTCAAATCATGCAGAATAGTTAACAAAAAAGGAGCCGACGGAAATATTTAAAAACAATTCGGCTTGCATCTCTCAAATAAAAAGGTTATATCAAAAGTGACATAACAAAGCCACATCACTCCAAGAATTTTTTCATGATACGAGAACTTGAGAAAATAAGAAGTGGACATCAAGTATGTACGGTCATGCGACAATCCGACTAACTTACTCACAAAAGCTCCTCTGACTACAGCATTTTTAAAACACGTCTACGGTATCGGAATGTGACATTTGCGTAACCTTTGAAGAAAAAAAATATGTCCATTATTCCCAAGTGAAAATTACGTTATTGTACTCTTTTTTCCCAATCATATCTTTTATCCTAATGGATTTTTCCATGATAAGGTTTTTAATGAGATAATTTGTAATACATGATGAATAATCAACGGAGAGTGTTACGATTGATGATTCATCTAGCAGGGACAGATTTCTTCAAGTCATCTATCACCATCATCACATTTCTCTTCTCTTCTTTATAGACAAGATGACTAAGTATCTTTTTCTTGTATTATGTATATAAAACGTACAAGAAGAAAATAAGAATAATAATTTGAAGTCCATCTCTCTCTAGACATATACATACGATCATCTCTCCATCATTTTATAAACTTGCTTTTCTCATATACATAATAATATATACTATATTTTGCCAGCAGTTTCAAGGCGTGAATTATTCTTAGGTTTTATTTTGCACTGTGATTTCAAAACATAGGTTAGTTAACCTTTTTATTTTATATTTTAAATTGGTTTAGTTAGAGATTTTTCTATGAAATCCATAACTAAGTTTTTAAAAATTAAAGATGTTTTCAGTGGGAAAAAAAAAAGAAAAAGACGAGTTTGCCCTAGAAGATCTCAGGCTCATCATCTCTTTAAGCGCCTCCGCTAGATGGCCCTCCTCTGATCTGAATCCGGCGCTCAGTCTTCCTCCTCTTGAAGAAACTCGTTCTCCTCTTCCATGGCCTCAAAGGGTAAAGCTCCTACTCTGCTGCGGTCAAAGACCTTTACCAGATCCGCCACCGTTTACGATTTCTCTGATGTCGTTTGTATCTCTTATCTGCCAAACCCTCTAGATGCGACCTTCATCATCGTTCTTATCCCGTTCATCGGTGAATCCCACAACCCCTCTTCCTAAGGTTTCTCAAGTCATAGATATGGAGTCCCATGCCTCAGCCACGACGTTTGGCTCCACAGGTGTTGTGGCTCCTTGTATGTCTACGAGTAGAGAACACTCTTCCACCGTACATTCAACTCTTCTTCCCTATACAAGCGTCCACAACCTCCTTGTCAGTCTCTTCAGCCATCAGGTGTTGAGGTTTCATTCTTCTCAACCTTTGGACTTGTGAGTTTGGGTCATGTTTCATGCTCTGATTTGGAAAATTTAGAGTTTACCATGGCTATACAAGCTCAAGAATTAGAATATCAACTAGAGCGTTACTTGTCAAACTCAGCCATATGGGCATTGTTTCTATGCAAGACATTTGTGTGGACGTGAGTGTGTTAGTACTGTGGCTAGCTGTTCCCAAGCCTCCCTTTCTCCAGTACGCAGCATTGCGAAGTCTTGAGAACTGGACACTGGATGTTGATATAGTGGCAGTGGATTGTTTTATGGATATAGTTTTCTCAATGATTACAACTCAGATGCATTTTACTGTCTAGCCTCAGATTATAGGGTTCACCTACCCCAAAATCTTACTTTCAGTGTCATTTTACGGGGTTCAAATAGCCAAAGCCGGTCTCAGTCGCAAAGAAATGCCAATGAAGCAAACAAATTACCTTCTATCCATCAAGGTCTCGTCAGACAAGCACCAAGGAGCCATCTTGACTGCAATTTTGTATCATATAGGACCGATGCGACTTGGAACAAAGACAAACTGACAGTAAGATTGGGATGGCTCTTCTCGGGTCCAGGTCTGGAGACTCCAATCCATGGATCTACGCAAAAGCTTTATCAGCTCAACCCTTATTGCAGAGGCCATCGCGATTCGATCGAGACTTTGTATGTCATTAACCTTGGAGTTCTCCACACTCAAGGTTTTCTTCGACAGTTTAACGCTCATCAGAACTATCTCCGGCAACCTCCAGTCTAAAGAAATCATCGGAATTGTAAACAGCATCCGATTGACCCGTATTATAACATGAGATCATTATTCTACCATTTTGTTAATAAATAATCATATAATATACTATGTTAATTTATAATTTCTCAGCATTTTATGAAAACATATATGAAAATTAAAATAAATAATTTATTTTAAAGGATGTAAATCTGAAATAAAATGGTCCATTGTTTTAACTTATTTCACATGGGTGAAAAAATAATTTTAATGTTTTATAATTTATTAGTAATATTTTTCAATCCGTGATACATAAAAAGTTATGTTATGTACAATGATTTAAACAAACACCTTAATTGACCAATATGAAATTTATAAAATAACATATGAAAGTTGTATTTATAGAATCAAATCGAACGTAGTTCAGTTGGTAGAGCTGGACTAGAGATTGAACTGCCTGGGCGATGATATGTTGCATATTTACTTGGTTTTAACTTTGCATTCTTATTCATGTTGAGCATATAGATTAGATTTAGGCATTCTTAGGTTGCGTTTTGCATTCATTTGTCTTTATCAGGTGGTGGAACATGCTATAGAGTTCTTGGAGGTGGGATCAATTATGTGCCCAAAGAGAGTGCAAAGATGTCATTTTGCAAGCCGGAGCAGCCACAGCGGAGTCAAGAGGTCGCTGCAAGCAACACCATCCGGAGTGGGGTCACGGGGCGGAGTCAGAGGGCCGCTCCCGTCCACAGCGGGGTAGGAGGGCCGCTCGCCTTTTGAAGACGAAAAACAACACTCACAGCGGGCCTTGGCAGCAGGGTCGGGACTCCGCTGTGAGCTCCGGAGCGGGGTCTTGGCAGCGGGGTTGTGACCCCGCTGTGCGTCTTTTATGTGACGAAAAATTTGTTTCGAGGACCTTTTTGCAGTTTTTGTTTTTTTATGTTTTGAGTTTCAGAAACCTTATTAAAACTACGTTGTAAGCCTCCAGAGGCAGATTATATTTTATTCTTGAAGAAAAACTTCTTTTGATTGAGATTTCATTGCTTTCATATTGTGTTCTTGTTGATTTCTTATCTATTTCTTTACATGATTAATCTAAAATCCAATATGGGTTTAAGAGGAATCATGGAGATTAGTGAGTAATCACCTTTTGAATTCATGGGTTAGGGAGATTAAGGGTGATTAGGTTAGTTCTAGGTTGTTTTATTGTTAGATTTCTCTTGTTCCTTGCTTATTAGAGTAACCATAATGCCTCTTTTGAATTGATCACTCAAAAGTTGATCTCTAGACATTTTCCACTCACAAAGTGTTCGATGAAATGTCTGAGTCAACTCTCTTAAGATTTTAACAGTATTTACCAGGGACACTTGTTGTTAAAAGTGTTAAGATGGCTAATAAATCTATTTCTAATGATTACTTTCATAATATTCAACCAAAGACATTTGATGCTTGAGTTATGCTAGTAAATGAACATTCATCTAGACATAGAGCTTGTTTAGAATCGTATCTAGGCCTAAGGTAGACAGTTTAATTGATCGCTTGCCATCCTTAGATCGAAACTTGAACACCCAAGGTCAAATTCCCTATACCCATGAGTTCTCCTTTATCTTCATTGTCAAAGTTATATCTTTTATTGCATTTTAGTTATAGTTAACCTTAAAAACTAATCAATCACATGATCGCACTTAGATTAAGCTAGTACTTGCATTCTCGGTGCATTTAAATCCCTCAGAATTGGTTCGACAATCTCTTATACTACAACATTTGCTTTAGGAGCCTCAAAAACTCCTAACATCAAATTGGCGCCGTTGCCGGATTCTGAGTAGATTGAAACATTGAGATTTAGTCACTTGCTTTAGACTAAGTCATTTTTCTTTTAATTTGTTACTGATTCTTTATCTTCATCCCTCTTTGGATTTCAGGTGTATGAACTTGAGGAGCAAAAGCACAACAAACCTTGTTCCAAGAGTTCAAGATATCAGCGCGTTTGAAAGAGAGATTGCAAGATAGAGAAGACAAGCAGAGCAACAAGCTCAGCAATAGAGGTTGGATACTGACATGGACCCACCGATTAACGTCAACGGGCAAGACCCACCAGCTCACCCAGCTCGCCCTATTGGCACCTATGACCGCCCAAACCTTCATGGCAATAGGTTGGGAATCCGTGCGCCAGCTGTGGAAGCCAACAACTTTGAGGTCAAACCAGGACTACTCAACGTGATTGAGAACAACAAGTATCATGGGTTGCCTGAAGAAGACCCATTTGATCACTTGGACAAATTTGACAGCTATTGTGGGTGGTCAAAAACCAATGGTGTGTCCGAGGATGCCTTCAAGCTGAAGTTATTCCCTTTCTCTTTGGAAGACAAAGCACGTCAATGGGAGAAGTCCCTTCCTAGTGACTTCATCACTACCTGGGATGAGTGCAAGAAAGCATTCTTGGAGAAATTCTTCTCTTCTTCAAGAACTGCCAAGCTGAGGAATGAGATATCCAGCTTTCAACAGAAGAACTAGGAAGGATTCAGCGAAGCATGGGAAAGATTCAAGAGCTATCAAGCACAATGCCCACACCATGGTTTCTCCAAGGAAAGCTTGCTGAGTACATTCTACAGAGGTTCTCTTCCTAAGTACAGAGCAAGATTGGATACTGCTAGCAATGAGTTCTTCTTGGGAAGGTCTGAGGAAGATGCGACGGATTTGGTTGACAACATGGTCAAGAGTGACGCAGTCTACAGTGGAGACCATGACAGAAGCAGTAGGGGTGATGATAAGCAGACAAGGAAAGAGATCAAAGCTCTGGAGGACAAAATCGACCTACTCACTGCTGAGAAAGCCACCCAAGAGCAGCTGAAGTCTATTGGTAACTCCAAGCAGGAAAATCCACCTACAGTGAATGAGGTTGAGGGATTGGAAGGTCAAGAAGAGTTGTGTTTCATCAACAACAATGGTAGCTGGTACAAAAAGGAGCCCAACTTTCAGTACAACAACTACCAACAGAAATCCTACCCCAACAACCAACAAAGTGGTTATCAGCCTCAGCCAAACCCCTCTCACAGTTCCTCCGCCCCTCAAGAGAACAACACTGATGCCTTACTGAAAAAAATCTTGGAATCTCAGACTAGAAGTGAGAAGCATGTTGGTTATGAATTGAAGAACCTTCATTCCAAGATTGATGGGAGCTACAATGAACTCAACAACAAATTCTCATACCTTGCTTCTACAGTCAAGAACTTAGAGAATCAGTTTGCTTCCATGAGCACTCAACAGAATCGCCAGCAAGGATCTCTACCTGGAAAATCTAACCAAAACCCCAAGGAGGCCAAAGCAATCACCCTTAGGAGTGGTAAGCAGTTACCAAATAGAAACCTCACCAATGATGCTGAGAAACTAGGTGAGGGGGTGGCCATCAACTTTGATGATGATTTTGTAATTGTTGATGAGAAGATTAATGAAGAGATACTGGAAAAGATTACTGAAGCTAAGGGTAAAGGAAAGGTTGGAGAAGAGAAGGAAACAGTAAAAGATGGTGAAGTTGCTGCTCCAGCAAGTAAGAATTCTTTTGTTCCCCCCCTATGAACCCAAACTCCCATTCCCTGGTAGATTCAAGTAGCAGCTGCTAGAGAAGTACAAGGCTCTGTTTGAGAAGAAAATGAGTGAAGCTCAGGTTGCAATGCCCATCATTGATGCTTTCATGTTGATCCCTCAATACAGCAAGTTCCTGAAAGATGTTGTAGCTGCAAAGAAGAAAGAGATGGAAGGCATGATGACTCTCATCCATGAGTGCAGTGCCATCATCCAGAGGCTTGATGTTCCAGAGAAGTTAGAGGATCCAGGATGCTTCACACTACCTTGTGCTCTTGGACCTATGGTATTTGAGAAATGTCTCTGCGATTTGGGAGCTAGTGCCAGCGTGATGCCTTTGTCTGTTGCAAAGAAGCTTGGATTCACTCAGTACAAGAAGTGTAGACTCTCTCTGGTGTTAGCTGATCGTTCAGTGAAGTACCCTGTGGGCATCTTAGAGGACCTCCCTGTGAAGATTGGAAGGTATGAGATACCTATAGACTTTGTGGTGCTTGTGATGGGCGAGGAAGCTCAAGACCCATTGATTCTATGAAGGCCGTTCTTAGCTACAGCAGGAGCTATTGTTAATGTGAAGGAAGGCAAGATTGATCTCCATTTGGGTAAAGAGAACATCCTCCACTTTGACATCAAGGGGAAACTGAAGAAACCAACTATGTTCGGGAAAGCCTTCACCAATGAAAAGAAGGGCACTCCTGCTGATGAGCATCTTGAAGAGCTACCACCTGAGGACAACAAGGAGGGAGAATCTCCCTCTACACAATCCCACTAGCAGGTATTCCATCACCTTCCATTGTATATACCAGTTTTTCTTTGCATATTAGTCTTTCTTTTGGGTATCTCTCTCTACTTAACAACACAGATACTGTGTGACTTAAGTTTGGGGGTGGTACCAAGTGTTTAATCATGTTTTCTTTGATGATTTTAAGTCCCATGCATTGCCTTTTACATACATATATGCATAGAAAAACAAAAAAAATTGAAAATTTTGAAAACCCAAAAAACAAAATCATGTAGGCTGCATCACTTGCATTTCTAGGAGAGTCTAGAGCATATAGTTTGCATTCATATGCATTGAGAGCTATTATTTTGAAACACCTTGTGAAGAACACTTCTCAAGAGCTCAAAGTGACACCCTAGTTAGACACATCAAGTAGCTTGAGCATCTCTTGAAAACCTTGCATGCTTCGAGCCTTGAAAACTCTTCTTAAAACATGTTTGTTTGCTTTAAATTGACATTGTTCTTAAAACCAGTTCCAATCTGAAATTTAGCTTAATGAACTTCATTTCTTTTGCATATGGGCACTTGCATACTTGATCATGGATCTCATACATATTTGGGTTATCTTATTCCATTTTACCACACTTTTGTTAACCCAAATGGTACTCCACACCCTTAACTTGAACCCAAGCCATTCTTTTGAGACCAAACATTTGATTTGCATGAGTGAGGC